AGCAGAAGCTGTTATGATCTCTGCCTTCTTCCAGGCTGCCTCCTAGTGCCTCTGTTTTGCTTTCCCTAAAGTCTGTGGGGATCGGCTGATTTCAGCTCCGACATGTAGACTCTTCAAATCACTGGCTTAAATGCAAACCCTTCTGTTCAGTTAAGTGATCCTACAGAAGTCTGAATAAAGACTGTCCCTGTTCAATTTGTTTCTCTGTGTTGCTAGAAAATGAAGAGATGAACAGGTGGAAAGCAAAGTTGCAAGAGAAGAAAAAAAAAGCAGGCAATTGAAGGAAGAATACATGTTTTCTGACTCACTCTCTAGAGGTAGGAAGAGTACGTTTATTTTCTCATGAAAATGGAGGACTCTGCTCATATTCGTGCCCTACTTCAAATTGTCTGCATTGTCCAAATGTTGCCTAGTGCCACATCTGAAATGAGTCAGCTGGTGAAGCTGGGAGAGAAGGGACTTAAATTCTGGCATGGCGAGCTTCAGCCAGCATTTGTCCAAGAGAGAAGAGATGTAACGACCCTGACTGTTCCCAGGGATGAAGGGAACTTCACATTGCTTGCTGCCCAGACTCTGCTCTTGACATGACTCTGGAAGAAGGTTCATCTCTGTAAGAGCCACCTTTTTCTGGCTTTCCAGAGGCTGATATGTTTGCATAAAGCATTTGGCTAGAAGAAATGGTGAGTTACAATGTGAAGTTGCAGTGTTTGAAAGGATAAGAAAAGCAGCAGAAAAGGCTGACTGCAACAAATACTTCTTTGCTGCAACAGAGGCTATTGGGGGGGCTGCCTCCCACAGAAAGTGATTTGAAGTTGTTGAACAGACGTTGCCTGCTTTTTAATGTCTGGCAGAGTCCTAGCAGTCTGCACTGCATCTCACTAGGGAATCCAGACTGCTAAGCAGTGATGAGAAAGGGGAGGAAAAAAAAAAGAGTGAGGTATTGAGAAATGGAGGTAGAAAAATTAGAGGTAGACTTCAATTTATGATTTGGAAGCCAAAGAGAGCTCTCCAGGTGATTGAGCAAGCTGCCTTCGGTTGCAGCAGCTCTCCTTACAGCTTCAAGTGGCCAGCTTCTAGATTGCTTTGGTTTGTAGTCATGGATAAGCACTCCCTCTGGAAATTACTGAAAGCAGCCTGCCACATCAGCTCACCAGCTTATAAAGTTGTATTTTAATTGTGTTATTAAATCTTTCTCACTTTTTGCATTTGTCTGTTTACCTTCCTGATTCATCTGGATCAAGCTGTGCTGGAACAGGTATGTGGTTCCTCCCGAATTGTGCTGTTTATTTGTAACAGGACCTGTAATGAGAATGGGTGAAACCTGCTGCCCAGCAGCGAGCTGAAATTTATCTGGCTCTTTCTGCTAAAGGACTGAGGTTGGAGGTGGGGTAGGGAAGTACTAAAGAAATGTGCTTTATAGGTAGGGAAAGAATTTTGTTCCTGTTTCATTTGTATAAAGTACCCAGACATAGGTTAGTGGACAGAGGTTATCACCTCTGTTCTCACCTTAACTATTTCCTTCCTTTCTTGATCCTTTTCTCTTTCCTCTGATTTGAAATTCATCTGTGTCTGGCTCAAGGGACTCATTTTGGTGGGCTGGCTTAGCACTTCCCATCAGAAAGGTTATGCTAACTAGTTGAAAAAATTAAATATACTCTTTTTGCTCCAGGACCAGTTAGACAGAATTACTACTGGGACTGAGGGAAGGAGGAACTGCAGATGCCACTGCTTTTCTCCTTTATAAGCAGTGTACATCACCTGCTTTGAGTAAATTACTGAATTTGCTTTTTAATTATATGTGGTCACAGTTGCGTTCTGATCCTCGTTGGTGAGAGAAGCTCGGTTTGTATCTCTAGCTTGAACCCAGAGGTGCTTGTCTTTAAAAAAATGCTGATATCTGCCAGATGTTATTACCAAAGACTATAGAAGAGAAGGCTGCTGTTGCTCAGAGAGAGACACACCACTGACCTCTCAGACACTTTCAGTAGCCGTCGGTGCAGTTCTACCTCAGTCTCTGTTCTTTATCATTTAGTTCCCCCGCCACACACAGCTGTATGACCCTACTAAAGCAACAGGCCACAGCGGTGAGCTCTAGGGACTTTTTGAGAGGTTTTCTGGCAGTAGAATAGATCGTTGGTTTGTCAACACAAGCAAAAAATTCAGTTAAATAAATTAATGACTTTATTTAATACATTGATTGAATAATACACCTTAGCCTGGAAACACCCAAATTCTGAGCTGTGCACATGTAATTCAGATTCTGAGGGGAACTATTACTACACACAGGCTCATGTATAAGGTGTTGAACAGGAACAACGGGAGCTACTGGCTGTTATCTGAATGAAGTTATTTTGCCTGAATATTTCAAGATATTTTTAGTTTTCCTACAATAACAAATGATCCTCAGCTCTTTGATCAACTTGATATTACAGCAAAAGAAGAGAAGGGAAAAAAAGGGAAAGGAATTGCCATCTGTCATCTTTGGCTAATTATTTCGAGCCCTACCTTGGTTTATACACTGCAGCACACTATTTTAGGACTTGTTAACTGAGAAGTCTTCTACTCTGCAAGAGTATAAATGAGTTCACCTCTAGCAAGTTCCCCAGTGCTCAGCATGTTGTGCCATCATTTCATAAAGCGTTTCTCCAACATAATGTCATGATTTATTAGTTCAGTCAAGTCTATTTTATCCCGCTCCCTCAGCTGAACTGGCTTTTCAGTGTAAGACTGTTTTGTCGCCTTTTTTGTGGGTATATGGGAAAGGAGAGGGAACCAGACTGCATTCCTCCAAACTCCTGCTAGCAGTCGAGCACCATGGCATTAGCTCTTCTGTAGTTTTTGGAGTGAGCCGGTAAATGAAGGAGCTCTCTGCGAGTGTGGAGGGACCAAATCAGGCACCAGGTATTCACCTAAAAAGATGCTTGCGCTATTCGTGTGAAAAGCAATACACGGTGTGCTCCTTCAGAGGGGACCCAGGAGCCCTCTGCTTCCTCCTGCCCTCCACGTAGCACCCCAAAGAACCTCAGGAGTGGGGAAGCAGCTTCATTACTACAGACTTTCTCAGAAATTCCTCTTGTGCCCTGAGATGTGGATTACCTAAACTAAGGCCACATTTTATTTTTGCCTTGTGACTGAACTATTTCAGCATTCTGGGTGAACTGAGACTTGTTTCTTTAACTCTCTTGCTGAAATTTTTGTTGCTTTCTCATTAGTTTTTTAAAGGTTAAGGTGCATCAGGCTGGATAAAATAGAATCCATCCTCATTTTGTAAGTGCTGACAGTTGTCATACTCACTTTCTTTCATTTTCACAAAGAAATGTTTTTTTTTGGTTTTTTTTCTAGTTCCTTCAGCAAGCCAATGTTTTTCAATATAATTGGAAAGCAAGTTTCCAGATACATTTTTAAAGTCTAGATAGGTGGAAACAGTGTGATTAAGATTTGAGTTAATCAACAGGAAAGAAACAAGCAAGCTTTCAGGAAATACTAAAATCTCTCTAAAAATCGAGATGCTTGAGAGGTTTTTAAAAAGCAGAGAAGAAAATGGAAAGTATCTTTCGATGACTGTTTATTTTTTTTCTATGATATGGCTAAATAGACTGAGCTAAAATCCTGGATTTGTGCATTTTGAAGCTTTGGTATACTTGGAGATAAACTGTGGTATTGTCCTCCATAAGAGTAAGCTTATTTTCTTTTGAAAATAAGAGGTACAAGTGCACAGTGATGGTAGGAAAACAGATATTTTTTTTTTAGAGATAGGCCTATGGAAAGGCTACTAAATGTCATCCCAAGACTCTGAAATTACCCACGGGCATGCATTTAAAAACACCACATAAGATCAAACTCAGTGATTACACTGTGGCTGTGTGAATTTGTTCCAATTTTAAAAGACTTCCAAATATTCAATCAAATTGGAATCAGGATCAAACATTTTGAAAAATGGTTTTATATGCCCTGATTATATTTTGCTTCACTGGTCATCTGTTTTTGACAAGGACGAGCAGCAGAGCAAAGCCATTTTTGCATCAAGCTCATCTAAACCCAGGTAAGAGTAAAGTGCATGTGCAGAGCCCCAGGGGACTGAAAAACGGGAATTCAAACCACTTTTCCAAGACTGTTGTTTTTTTCACCTCACAGAGTGTAGACCATGCCAAAAAATACCAAAAGAATATCACTTATGTCTTTCCTACACCAGCAGCACTCCTAAGACGAAAATTCATACACAGTATTAAAAGAAAATCAATAGGCTGCAAGAAGGCAACCTAAAGTTTAGCCTTCATTTTTTTGTCTAATTAATTTCTTTCTTTGACATATATTTCAATATTTCATATGTCTTTGAAAACTATAGGATCTATGAATGACATTTCTTCTACATACTTGCCACTTAAATGAAGTCAAGCAACAAAGAACAAAGAGTATATTCAGGAGAAAAGTAGAAGAGAATCTAAGCAAAACTATGGAAAAATGAGTCATTGCTTAAACTTATACTATGTGCTGCATAGGAATGTAAACTAGAATCAGTCATAACTCCTCCATCCTTTCAATATCTCTGTACCTATAGCACTGAAAAAATCCTTACTTCCAGAGACTGAAGAATAATGTAAACCTGATAAAGGAGAGAGAATATATACATACCAGTAATTGAGAAAGGTGGGTGAACTGCCCAGATAACTGGAATTAACAATGAAATGCAATGCATCTGTATATAAAAACTACTCCATCAGAAAATAAATATTAACTGGTACTAGGGAGGTGTGGATTTTGCAGCTTCTTAAACAATGTCCAGTTTTTATACACATTAATAACAATTATTACAGGTTTGGCTGAGGCAAGCATCTAGAGTACTATAATAAACAGATCTGCTCTTATTCCCCTAGTTCAGAAAACGCAGCGCAACTGAACAACGAGAGACTACAGACTGACGTGAAGAAATGAAACATTTTTACGGACATCAGAAAGTTAGAAAGAAAGCATAACTTCACAAAACATCACTTATTAGTTACCTGTCCCAGAGAGTAGGTGAAGATTTTGCGAGCCTGCCCTGGAGAATTCTAGGTTGCCATAGGCAGGTTGGCACCCAGGAATTTCGTACCCTGCAGCATGAATAGAGGATAAACCATGGCTAGGTATGGCTCATAAGACATACGAGTGATTACCTAGCTAGATTTGCTGCATAGTAGTAGGCTATGAAATAATTTGGTACTAATTATTATTCAGGATATCTTATTTAAAGCAGTAAAAAAGCTACAAAGCAAGGTGATGTTACAGCACACACATTTAGTGATTTTCTTGTATGACTATTGTAGGTCAGAGTAAGCATTTATAATTGACCTTATGATGGCTGTAAATGAGTGCTACTCCACCTAGTTTACTGGAGAAGCAGTCTTAAGATTTGTGAATCAAGCCCTTATATTTTTGCACTGTAAAAACATCAGATTAAACAAATTTATGCCTCATTGAAAGAGGGTCAGCAAAATTCCTTCTGAGCACCACAGTGAGAACATGTTTAGCAGTGTTAATTAAATCTGGGCTGAGGTTCAAGTTCCACATACCAGGTTCCATGCACATCTACCAGCAGCAGAACAATAGCTGCAAAATATATATTTGCTGGAAATGAAAAGCACAAAGAGAAGCAATCTGAACTAGCAATATAAGCTATGAATAACACACAGCAAAAGCAGTTCCAGAGCCCAGGAGAAGGCCAACAAGGCAGGCAAATTAACACTGAGAACTGTTGCCCAACATGAGCATCAAGCAAAGCTGGTAAGATTCAAAACACTTTGTTCAGTCCTTAGTCAAGCAAATTCTCTCTCAAGTCAAAAGTGTTTTTTCCTGAGTAAAATCTGAGTAAGGACTACAGTATTTGGCCAAGCAGAATTCCTCATACATTCCACATCCGCTGTGTTCCTTTGCGGTATCAGAAATGCAGCATAACATGCCTTGAAGGATAAACTCAATAAAAGATCAGTTTTTCCTCACTCAAGCATGGCCATACTTATGCATCAGAATTTTTGCCTAAGCTTTCCCTGCGGTCAGTCATCACTACACATGTGGAAAATCCTACCTTCCAGTATTCACCATCAATTACCAGTGAGTACTGCAAAGCAGGGACCTTCTGGACTGTGAACACATCTTTACATACAGGACACATTTCAGGAGCAGTAACTGCGTTACAGAGAGCAGCAAAGAATCTCAGTATTTATGGGAAAGGAGAACTCTGCTGAGTCTCTTGCCACTGCTGTAAATCCACGGTGGGATTGTTTTCATGTCAAGAACTACCAGCAGCAAGATGATGCTCTTTAGGGCACTCTGAGGAAAAGCACTAGGAGAATTCCAGCACATTACTCTAGGTGTACCACTGAGTTGTTCATTGAATAAGGAAGGAACGTTTAAGTATCTTTTAACTTCTTCCATACTGGACTTGGATTAACTATGTGAAGACACCCAGGGATGATGGAAAAAATGAGATAGCCCAAGGTTCAGGTGCTGTCATCACATGAATTTACAGCAATGTTAGCTTTAAAATCAAAGTGGAGCTGAGAATAAATCTCTGCAATCTGTAATACCACAGTATTGTCAGTTCTTCAGTGAACTGTTAGTATTATTCTGGATTACTTCGGATTCTCCTAGCTTTTCTGATGTTTACAACCTGCAATTCTCATAATCAATAGGTGTGTACTTATTTAATTCTGCAGTACTTCACTATGTATTTTCATTCTCAACTGTGGGTGTCAGGAAAACAGTCCGTTGTAGGAATACAGCTTTGAAAATGGTCTCTACCTGGCTCTCCATATTGTATTTGAATATTTTTAGGTACAAAATTGTAAACTGCTCCTAAAAATCAGGTCTTTGAAATCTTAATTTTGAAAAAAAACAGTTAATTCAGCCACAGGTTTTTCCAGAACCAGTGGAGATTTTTCAAACCAGTGCCTTTTGAATATTTTGCTGCACTTCACTGAGAAACCCTCCACAGTAGTTTTCTAATGAAATAAGAAAACTTGGAAATTCTGAGATGGATGAAATGAAAACATTGGCTTTTCAAGCCCACAAAATTAATTAAATTGGAGCTCTTGGAGCACAGAAGCCATTTGAGCAGGGAGAAATCTCTGCTGTCTTCAGATCCATTACCAGCTATCTTCCATATAGTCTTAATCTAACCTATCTCATCGCTTTTACTGATATATAGCAAATAGCTTTGCTATAGATAATTTTGACAAAATATTTTAAGGCTAAGAGGTTGTGAGATGTTTTGACAGAGAGGGGAGGGGTGTGAATTCCACTTTAGCTGTTTGCTCAGTGTTTTTCCTGACATCTTTTCAGTAGTAAGTCCCGTGTAATTGCTCCATAAATGAGCTAATGCAGAGAAAAGCTCTCTGCTCTAAATGTGGTGGGTCTTTCAAAAGCTCCCCAAAGGGATTTAATAACATCCTGTCTCAGATAATCAGTGTCAGTTGTAGTCAGTCTAATCACATTCTCATGTTCAAGGTTGAAAAAAAATTAGTAACTGTAAGATTTATTTATTTGCCTGATATACAAACACAAAAATTAATTTGTCAGCTTCTGAAGTTTACATGGGATATTGTTTTACCCCTGGCAAATCAGAAATCAGCAAAACATACACACATTTTTGTCTAAAACAACTGTAATTTTTAAAGGAAACAAAATGGAAAAAGCTCCCAGTTCTGTTACTGTGTCGTTTCCTTTCTGAAATAACAGTTGTAAGAAACTTGTAAGTATTGAAAATAATAAACAAGCCTATTTAAAAAGAATATTCTATAGTCACAGTATACAAATAAGAGTTTACTACAGGAAAAATATCAGTCCCAAAAACCCGATGATAAACTATTTCAGATTATCAATTTTTAAAATGACTTTTTATTGTACCATAGCACGATGAAGTAACTCTTTTTCCCCTTCTTTCTACAGAGCTTCCCTTATGCCTCACTGATGTGATTGAGACCGACTCCTGTGTCAAGTGAGGTTCGAATCTGGCCATGCTGTTGTAATAGTCTGTGTTTCTTTGTCTTGTCCTAGAACACGCAGTATGTTACTTCAAATATTGCCTGTGGCTCATCTGACAATAATCACAGAGGATACTTACAGACCTGTAGCCAATTTGAAGAAAAAAAAGAACAAATGGATTTGAATTTCTCAGTGAAACACTATCAACACTTTAGTTCACTGTCTAGAGAAGGACAACTAATAATTCATCAGTTTTGGTGGCAGATGGTGATTGATCAGTCTGGAGTAGACTCATGCAGACCGCTTTGCCTATTTAAGAAATAGTTATGAGACAAGTAAACACAATGGCCCTTATGCTTTCCTCTCCGTATTTCATAGGTGAGTAAAATTTATCGCATCTGATATGTGTAAAGATCCCTGATTTGCATACTACTCCTCAAAACCACTGCCTTTCTATGGTAGGTATATTTGGTTTCTGTGGCAAGATTTTGGTAGTAGGGTGGCTACAGGGGTGACTTCTGTGAGAAGCTTCCCCTTTCCAATAAAGCCAACGCCAGCCGGCTCCAAGATGGACCTGGGGAAGAGTATGAGTCCTCCCCCTGAGAAGGAAGGAGCGGCAGAGACACCGTGTGATGAACTGACCCCAACCCCCATTCTCTGTCCCCCTGCGCTGCTCGGGGGAGGAAGTAGAGAAAATCAGGAGTGAAGTTGAGCCTGGGAAGAAGGGAAGGTGGGGGGACGGTGTTTTAAGATTTGTTTTTATTTCTCATTATCCTACTCTGATTTGATTGGTAATAAATTAAACTGATGTCCCCAGGCCAAGTCTGTTTTGCCCGTGATGGTAGTTGCTGAGTGATCTCCCTTTCCTTATCCTGACACTCAAACATTTTGTTATATTTTCTCTCGCCTGTCCAGCTGAGGAGGGGGAATGATAGAGCAGCTTTGGTGAGCAGCTGGTGTCCAGCCAGGGTCAACCCACCACAGTAGGATACACATGGTTATTTTACAAATGCCAATGCAAATTTGAATGATTTTTCTAAACTAATGTGTTTTTCAGAAGTTGGAGAATTTAATGGTTGCTCTATTTGCGAGTGGAGGACTTAGTGAATAGCCTTTAGCTGTCTCTAGATCATAGCCTTTAGCAGCAAAAACTACCCCAAATATTGCATCTGTTAAAGGGAGAAGAATTTTCTGTAGAGCAGGAAAGAATGTGCCTTGGTCTGATTTTAGTTTAAACTCAGTGCTCTTTAAGACCTGAAGGGGATTTGAAAGTCACCCATAAACTGGGTTGTGCTATTATGATTTCTGTACTTGCCCAATTTAGCTCTATTTTACCCCAGTACGAAGAAGTTAAGCACAAGAACCACTATTTTTGCTTCTATTAACACTATGCAGCTATTTTAAGGGCATGCTTTTATAAACACTAATAACTCCAGATGGAACACTGACAGAGCAAACTGGAAGAACTGCAGGGACACCTTGGAACATACTGTCACGACTCTACCTCCACACCCCGTCCTCATTGAAGAGGCACGTGGCAGTGATGCTGATTTAGCATCACAGACTTGCAAGATGCTGTCAGCCGTGCTTGCTACCTACTTTCCTACCAGTCATGCCAATGTAGGTAACTGGCTGTCATCTCCACAGAACAAAGGCTGGAGCTAATAAAAATGTCAAACAATCCATTTTCTGTGAGGGGGTGGCAGTTCTATTCCTGGAGTTACCCAGAACTATCTATGACCACTGCATTAAATAATGTAAAGCTGCTGCAGGGCCTGCAACAATATATCTTAATGAGTATTTTAAATATAATTCCCTAATTGAAAAACAGGGTCCTCTGGAACCATGCATCCCCCCAGTTGGGGTAATCTGCAGGGACTGGACCAGTAGCTCCACAGTGAGGACACAGATGCCAACAGAGTACCTGGGAACATAATGAGGCTGGGAATGTCCATCAAGCAGAAAAGGGAGGAAGATGTGGACACGGTTATCAGTGAAGTTAATACCTACTTTCTGACAGCATAGGAATATAGAGATGTTGTTCTTCCAGATCAGTTTAACAAATTTTAGGAGAGGGTGTTTCACTGGCTTGGGCACCTCTCAGTATCTATCTGACCAGACACAAAAAATCCGCCCTTTTTCCTCATCCCATTTCTTCTCTTTTTTTGCCCCACTCTTCTAACAAGCTCCTGCCATGGCTTCTCTTCATCTCCAGTTTTGCCCATCTGTGCAATGTGTTTCTGGTATGCCCACTGGCTCCTCTTGGTGCAGCAGCTGCTGCAGTGCTCAAGGTGAAAGACCACTTCCATGTCCCCTCTTGGGAAGCCAGACACTACAGCAAGCTTCATCTGCCAGGAAGAGTCAGGGAGGAAGTCTTGTTTGGTCTTGAAACTCTAGGATGAAGAACACTGAACTGAGATTGAACCTATATGAAATTTAGTTGCCAAATTAATATGTCTCTGTTCAACAGCTATAATCTTCTTTTTTTTCAGATGTTTTTGACGCATGCTACTTCGAATGTTTATTAAAATGCTATAGCACAAATTCTTGACACTCTGGAAGGCTCCTTGGAGTATTTTACCCAGCTCCAAAGCAGGCAGGTTGAGGGCTTCTTAATGAAAAAAAATCATAGGCTATTTTTTTGCTATGATTAAATCCAAATTGTTTTCCTTAGTTATATTTTCAGAAATGTCTAAGGCATTTTAACATAAAAATATGGCACACAACATTCTAATTGATATAGTTAAAATTTTGCAAAGTGTTAAGCAATCTGTCAGTGGAAAATTTTGGGTGACCTCAGCGACCATTAATGCTACTGCGTCATCATATCTACCGTACCTAGCTATTTATCTGCCTATATTTATCAAACCATGTGGGCAGCCTTTTGTGGAGTAAATGTGAATGCCTCTGTGTGTACACATCTATGTGTGTACACACTATTTTCAGAAAATGTATGTGGTAAATAGTATATAAAGTCTTTAGAGTTAAAATTCCATGCTCAGACTATAAATGCATGAATGAACAGTTATCACTGTATTAGGCATGTTGGCAGAGCAGTTGTGGTAGGATGGGTGCTACTTGCAGTGTTTGATTTTGTTTGTTGATGCCTTCAAATACTTGTGTAGCCAAAACACAAATTCAGACAGTAGGCTCAATACAGGTGTATCAACAAAATGTAAGGATTTATGACTAAATAAATTAATGAACTTTCTGTTCTCAAAATGCTAAGACGCCATGCCCTCTGTGAATAACAGCACAGGAGACTGGATGAGCTAATCACTTTTACCTACATTTCTAATAATTAACAACTGGTTTAAGATCTCAAAAGAATCTGTGGAAAGAGATCACATTTTTCCACCTTTGGCTTGAGCTTAGTTAGATATTACAACAAAACCCAAGGCTGTGTGAAGCATCGCAAGCTTGGCGCTCATTTCTCTTGGTATCACCGTGGCATTTTATTGCGGCTATATGACTTCATATTTTGTCAGTCTTTAAATGCATGAAATACACTAACTGATCCGAAATTTAACAGCTGGCTGAGTACAATTTTACTGATGATTAGATTTGGGGGAAGAGAAACAGGTGCAGAAACACTCCCTCCTGCAAGTACAGAAAAATATGATAGGGATAAGTCATTCAATATCTGCATGGAAATAATCATAAATTGTTAATATTTCATTTTGAGTCTCCTACTTGGGAAGCCGATCATCTGCATATTGTGAAAAGCATTAGCTAGCTTTACTGTCTTGCAGCTTATACACTATTGCTATAGAATAAATACAGTCACACTTTTCAGGGTTATAGATCATTTTTGCAATATAATTCAATGACAGCTGATAGTTTCTATACCGCTTAAACGCATTTTGTTATTCCCTGTTGGGAAGCAATAGCCATAAACACAGTGTATAGGTGCCAGAATATATCTGTTGTCTGGAGACATTTCTCATTGGAACTATACTTGCTTATATGTTTTATATGTCTCATGAAATTTCAGTATTAGTAATGGCTCTCCAACGCTGTCACTGATAACATCCAACAGCTTCTCTGAGGCATTTATTTTGTATAATGGAGGAACTCATTTTTCATGAGGAATGGTTTTCCACATGCAGGAAAACAAATATCAGACTGACCTAAGGGCTGCCCTTTCCTCCATTTCTTTTGGGTTCTTTTCTTCAATTAGCTGAGTAACTGTTGTTTCCAATGCAATTAGGCCAGCATGAACCATTTCCCCCCCTACTTTTTCTCTATCACAAATGCTTTGCTCCAGTGTCCCAGCAGCCGATCCATTTTTTGCCCTTTTTTATGGTTTGACTTCAGGCAATCTTTACACAGCTCCAGCTGCCCTGAGTGCACTTCACAAAGCTTTGTTTCAACATGGGGAACATTATGGGGGAACTGGCAGTATCTGGTCAAGAAGACTTCTGTGTCTGGAAGTGAATTTTTATCAATCTTGATGAGACAAATTTGGAAGCCTGTTTTGGTTTCCCAATATGGAATATTAGGATGCTTAAGGTATCAGCTGCATAAGTTAGTAATACATTAAAAGCTACCTTCTAAGTCCCTTATTGTCAGTGTAATTCTCTCTTTTTCCCATTTTTCCACGGTCTCCCTTGGAGCCTCTAAGTTTGGGAGCTTTGGATAATCACTGACTCATTTTGTCATCTAGGAATGGACTATGTAAGAGCACTTTTCTAAATATATGGATGTATTTACTGCAGACATCAGCTGTGCTTGTATTTATATTTCATACCTTTTCCAAAATCTGCTATGATGTTTTTAAGTAGGCATGTGAATGTGTGAATAAAATCCTACTGAATATAGAGTAGGATTAACTTTACTGAGAATAGCAGCTCTTTTGTGCAAAGACTGGTCTGTGCTTGCATGGTTCCAGCAATCCATGCCTGGTGCCTCCAGAGAATCTGAAAAAACTAATAATTCCATGACATCCCTTTAAAATGGCACGTGGTTTACATGATAAGTGGAATAAAGCTATACACTTAAGACTGAAAAATATTCCTTTCACCCCAAAGATATCCTAAATTATATCTGATAGCTCAATAACTCTCATTCACTCACTGAATACATAGGCTAAAGATCTGTTTTCTAAGCAGCTTCAGTAAACTATTGTGTGAGGTATTTCAGCAAGAGGAGGAAGTGCTGGCACACCGGGGAAAGGGCAGGGGTTTTTTTCTAGGAATGCATGTTTTCAAGAGGGATTCAGTCTTGGAGAGATGCACAGAAAAGGCTTTTTCAGAGACTTAAGAGGCATCTTAAAAAACAAACTCAAAAGCAAAGCTGGTCTAGATCATAGCAAGAAAAGAAAGACTGAGTGGGGATATGGCTGCCATTTTAAACATAACAGGGAGGAGGGAAAAATTATTTCCTCTAAAGAAAAGCTATTGCTTAAGAAGAAAGTGAACAGAACTGACCATGATTACATTTTCTTCTGGAAATTAGAAGACTTCTAATGATGAAACAACATGATTCTGGAACAGCCTTACGATAAGAGTAGCAGATAGAAAAGTGAGTATCTGGTTGCCTGTAACTGCAGATAACTGTTCCAAAATGTCCAGGTTCCTAAATGTCTTTTTTTTCCTAAATTGCTTTTTCACAAAAAGGCTATTGTCAATAGATTTATTCTAACAATGCATCTTATCCCTTCCAAATCTTACCCCCTTCAGTGTTCGTGACATTAAAGTAAATTGGTACTTGTGGGAGAACAGAACCAGGCACCAGCTCAGTACTGCCAATGATGGGAGTCAGAAATGGAAGAAATCTCATTGAGAAAGCCAGCTCTACCTTTCAGAACCTGACGCAGCTAATGAATTTGTCATTTGTTCTCTACTAGCAATGCAGTTATCAATCCAACACTTTCACTCATGAGTTACAATACAAATGCACTGCAACAGAGCAGTTGTATTTTCAACTGGGAATACTATGATTACAGAGATAATATCTAGAGAAATATTCCCAGGAGACGCTTCCAGGCAGCTTAAAATCAATAGAAATGATGAGCATTTTACATCTCTTCAGATTTTGCTTCTGGTTTGTCTATATAACCCTTATCTTTTACCCCTGAAGAGCATGGGTGCTTTCACTATGGATAGCTTTCTCTGTTCCTTTTGCTGAGAAAATTAAGCACGGAGCGATCTGCTTCAGAAATCTGCTCACTGGAGAATTGGTAAATATGCATGCAAACAACTGCCCTAGAGTATAATCTGAGCAATTTTCATGTTCTAGTTTGGTAGGCTTGAAGAAGGAATTAATTAAAAGAAGAGAGACTAGATTTTAGTTCAGAAATTGTTTTTCTTTTTCTGTCTACTCAGAAACTCAGTTGAGTCCTCCTCTCCTGCCTGCCACCATAGATTTAGATTATTTTTGCTAAATTCTGATTTTAGCACAGAAATTATTCATCACTGACCATACCTCTGATGAAACAATGTAGTGGAATTGCCTGGGCTGGTTGGCATGGAGTTTACCAGTGGTATACCCGTAGAGGTTCTCCAAGTCCATCTTGTACTCTGTGGGGCTATTTGAAATGGATTCTTTTGGTTTTATGTGTCTTCCATTATAAAGGACAGATTTTCTGTTGTCTTAGGGTATACTGCATTCATTTTGAAGACACTTACCCATGAGAGGCACTGTTACATTGGGCTCTCGGATATGTCAAATAAATAACATGGCTTCCAACATAGAGAAAATCAGCTCGCTCCTCTGTTGCTCAGCTTGCTCTCCTGCCCTTTTCCCTTCTCATCCACTTAAAGTATGAGTTCACTGAGGGAGAGGAAATCTCTTGGGATTTTGGGAGAACAGCACGCAGTCTAATGAATCCTTATCTCAGGATACGACTTTGAGTGACACGGTAAAGAGAAAATGAGGTGTGGTCACCTTAGAAATCAAGAAAAAGGCTAGAAAGACCAATAGCTGAGGGGTGGCAGTCCTTGAGATGTATAAAAAACATTCCAATACTCTCAGATTTGTTTGGAGTTAAATTTCAGATTAGCTAATAGGAAGATTTGAAAATTATTTTGTTATCCTGAATACCGTTTTAAACCAGCCAAATACCAATGAAAAGGTTGCATCCAAAGTAATGCAGGAAGCAGAGCAGGCTCAGAGGGAAAGAAAATGCAGAATTTCACCATTCCATGGATGAGCGCTGCCAGGGGAGAGGGCAGTGCAGGGATGAAGAAGCACGCATGATGCTCCTGCTTGTGCCAAAGCAAGGGGCCGTGACTGCTGCTTCTGCAAGAAGGATGAGTTAAGAGTTTTTAGCCTCCTCACAGCACCCTTTCCTTTGGCAGTAGCAGTGGCAGGTCTCTGGCAGAGGCAAAGCAGGCAGCTGCCCCAGCAACTGCATACTTTGTCTATGTCTAGAGCTGGCTCTGCAAATCCCATTTCATTTATTTCAGGGCTTGAATCATATACTATACCTGGCACAAGGCCCATTCTATGCTTTGAAAGTGCTTTGGGCGGGGGGAGAAGTGCAGCAAAACAAAACTGCCAGGTGTGAGCAATCAGAGCACAATTAAATCTATTATGAATGGAATGAATTATCTCCTTAAAAAAATATTAGTTGTTGTGGAACATGTCTCATTTAGCAATTAAAAAACATATATGTTCAGGTGAGTCTTATTACTGCTTGGCTAACTCCTGTCATGTGCTTCTTCATACTTTCTTTTGCCAGAACTGGCTGTGTTGCAGAAAACAGACTCAGACTTCATCCAGATGTACATCAGTGAGTCACGGGCACGAGATTGCTTTATTCAATATAGACAATGTCTATGATAACAACAAGCTAATGTATACTTTTAAAACTAGAGAGATATAAATGCAGAATGTATAATGGTGAGAATTCAGTGACGTGGAATACACCTCTCAAAGGGAGGGCATCAAGGATTAAAGGTGAGACAGGCTCTGAAGTAGTACTTGGCTGAAGTGCAGGTGCTGCTTTCAAGACATGAATACAGAAAGGTTATTCTCTCTAACCAGTCTCACAGGCACCTACATTTGGGATTCTGGAGTGCCATGGGACAGACACTGAGCTGCCTTGGGCCAAGCAGCTGGGCTCCCCAGCACTGCTGTGATTCCTCTGCGGGGCAGGAGCTCGACCCATTCACAGTGCCTCAAATCCACCTAACCCATAGGAACAGGCAGTACAGAGTTAGCAGAGAGCCCAGCAGCCGTCATCTCTTTTTTTAAGGACCCAGTGGTGATGGTATATATCACATACTTTTGGTGATTTGAGCAAGGAGCACTGATGTTTCAATTTGAGAGACCTCAGTCCTGCTTTTACTTTTTCTCAGGATATACCCTTGCCAGGTGGCTATCGGCACAGATTTCCATGCCTTCCATTGAAATGTGGCACTGGATAACCAGGAATACAAAGTCATGAAGACAGCAAGAAAGAAAAAAAAAAATCGGTTCCATAGCTCTTGTTTCCTTGACTATATGGTATTTCTCTCTTTCTTCAGCTATTTAAGGACTCAGGGGTCCTTATTCAGGTGGTCTGAAAGTCTCCTCTGGACCCAGGGATCTCTTCTTGAGGCAATGCAGTGCCTGTGTTTTGTGCCCAGAGTACGGCTTGGCTCAGATACCAGAAGAGCAAGCACATGCAACTTTAGGTGTAGTACGCTAATGCTAACTAGGCTGTGCAAATAATTGAAATTTTAATACATTCCTGTGGATTTGGCTGCCAAGTGCAACTGATGGCTAATTGGGCCTGAGGTTTGTAATAGTGTTAACTTGTTATGGTACAAACATGGAAACCAGAAGGTCTGATCTGGTAGCTGATCCCCACAAGCAAAACAAAAACACGTACAGGAAGCCAGGGAGGCAAAACTTCCAGTATGACAGTGGGGCCAAGGCATATGGAAATCTGGTTCCTACTTGTGCAAGCTCTACTGGCCATAAGCAATTAGAATCAAATTCTCATCTCAGCCAAAGCATAGTATTGTAATTCCTCCCTAATGTATACTGAGGATCTGGGCCGGTCCTGTAGGAGTGGAAGAGTATCATGTGGTGTATATAGCCAAATCTTTTAGGGATGCAGAGGTCAAGTGAGCTTGTTAATAGCAGACTGTACTCCCTTCACTCTCACGTAATTCTGGATCCTTTAACTTTCCCACAGTCCCTGCTAAAAGGTATCATCACCTTTGCCAGAAATGTGCTACTGCTTAGTAGCTGCAAAATACCAGCTTCATGTTCTTGCCAGTTCCAGACCAGAGCTGCAGCCTCTTGGCTCCTACAAGTGTAGAAGGTATTGGATTAAACCAGAGTAGATTAAAGGGTTTTCTCTAGGTAAATGAACAACTTTGTTTGACTTTGGAACTGGGGAAAGCATCATGCCTGATAAATAGACATCACAACTTAGCTAATGACAATGACAGGGATTGGGTAGCACTTAGTATCATAGAACCATAGAATTCTTTAGGTTGGAGAAGACCTTTAAGATCATCAAGTGCAACCATTAACCTAAAACTGCCATTCCACCACTAAACCATGTCCCTAAACACCACATCTACACCTCTTTTAAATACCTCCAGGGATGGGGACTCAACCACTTCCCTGGGCAGCCCATTCCAATGCTTGACAACCCTTTCTGTGAAAAAATTTTTCCTGCTGTCCAATCTAAACCTGGCCTGGTGCAAGTTGAAGCCATTTCCCCTCATCCTATTGCCCATTACCAGGGAGAAGAGACCAACACCCACTTCACTACAACCCCCTCTCAGATAGTTGTAGAAGGCGATAAGGTCTCCCCTCAGTCTCCTTTTTTTCCAGGATAAACAACCCCAGTTCCTTCAGCCTCTCCTCATAAGACTTGTGCTCCAGACCCCTCACCAGCTGTATTGCTCTCCTCTGGACGTGTTCCAGCGACTCAAAATCTTTCCTGTAGTGAGGGGCCCAGCACTGAACATGGTATAGACTGCAACACTTGAGCAGGAAAGCAGTGTCATCCCCCCACCCCAATCAGCTGGGTGACTACTTATGTTACAGTCTGCAAGAGACCCCTGGGAATGTGAGATGAGAGAGGAAGTGTTCATGGGAGAAAGAAGCACTAAATAAGTTGAGTGACCCTACGGCCACTTTTAAGTTAGCTCAGGTGTGAAAAGAGTAAGTCAATAGTGATAGTTGATTCAGAACAGTTTGGGTTTTCTTATTGCTGTGACATGTTCTCTGTGCTTTATAGAAATAGAATTTGGGGAGCTGAAGGGCTATCTCCCCTCAGCTTCATTGGTCTTACTTGTACATCGCTCATTCCTAACAACCCTGTGATTTCCTCCACACAATGAGAACTGAGAGTATAAAATTAAGAGAGGTTTACCTTTTGCATGTCCTTGTATTGCACATGTACAGCAGAAGATCACAGAAAGGACTGAAATTTCTGTTCTGTCTGAGCAGCAGCTATTCTGCAGGAAGGGTGACAACCTTGACTATGATCAGAGGCTGCTCTGAGTCACTGCTAACCACTGCACTGTTGCAACTGGTGAACATCCAAGCTCTTGGAATTAGAATTCAGGGGGGTTTTGACAATATATTTTTCTCTATTTCTCTGCCTCTGAGCATAGCCAAACAGTGCATCTTGTTAGTTATTTCAGCAGCTGCTAGTCACTTTTTCTCAATCTATCCATTCTCTTTTGCAAAGAAGCTGCACTCTTCCATTGCTACTAGAAGGTTTAGGCTCGATCCTGGCAGCTGTTTTACACCTTTAGATGAGCAATCTTCTTGAATGCTCACAGGAGTATCCAGTTAAGGCCTTTATAGCTTGTTCTGACAGAATTTTTTCTTCCTGACTCTGTTCCTCCTTTGCAAAGTGTATTTCAGCATCAACTCTGAACTTCCTTCTGGCAACTACCTTTTTGCTGAGAAGTGACATCCTTTCACGGTCTAACGCCCAGTGTCTTGTTCCTGTCTTGTTTTCATGTAATCTACTTTTAACAGCTCCAGACATCTTGGCAGGAGGGCCAAAGCATACCCACTATCTGTATTTCTTGGCCTTTTTCTGATAAGACTTAGAGTTCCTCTGCTCCCTATGGATGCTTGAATGAACAAAATGGAAGGGGAATGCAAAATCCTATTCTCTTTCTCCCTTGTCATGTTCAAATACAACAGGAATGGCAGTTCCTGCGCTCCTGGGAATACAGGCAAGCTAAATTCTTTAGATAGCAAGAGGGTGGAAGGGTATGGGCCCAGCCCTGTCCTCCGCCTGCATCACTGGCCGACATCTGGGAGAGCTCCATGAGAGTCTAGCAATGAAGCTCCACAATTTCTTTTTCATAGGATGTGTCTTAAAGGCACATTTTGATACTTTAGGATTAATTCTTGCCCTGGTAAAGTTAATGTTGAAGAGCCAGTGGGAATTTGTTGAGTTTCTTCTCTGATTTCTTGTGAGCTCTCTGGCCAGACCTGTGGCCAAAGTTTACACTTAACACATGATATGAGAAGAGCTTTACGCTCTTTGGTGATTATTATTATAATAATCATTATTAATAGATTAAGTATTTATATCCTGGCAG